CTCCCCTCCCCTCCCCTCCGCCTGGCCCCCACACCCGCTCCTGGGTGGGCCCGAGCCCCCGGCCCGCCCGCGCGGCCTCCCCTTGCCTCCCCTTCCCTTCCCTTCCCCTTTCCTTCCCCTTTCTCCTGAGCCCTCCCAGCTGAAGGCGGGCCAGCGCTCTGCGGAGAGGCGATGCCTTCCCTAGACCAAGGGAGCAGTTAGGGAAAGCCCTTGGGCCAGTTGCCCTTTGAAGGGGCTTCTCGCACTTCCTTGCGGGCAGCAGCCCCGCTCCCCTGCCCGAAGCCTTCTCTAAACTTTCCACTTCCCCTGCAGCGGGCAGCGGGGTCCAGCGTTCAGGGCGCCACACCGTCACCTTCCTCTGTGCAGGAGCAGGCACTGGGGGACCCGAATACGGCTCCTGCTGCTGTCCAGGTGCTGGGCTCTCCTGTTGGTTCGGTGGGAACCGCGGAGACCTGGCTTCAAGTCAGGGGTTCTCAGCCCTTTTCAGACTCGAGGCACCCCTCGGAAACCGCCAGCTCTAAGTTTTTTTTCACGCTTGTTTTCACTACGGGGAAATAACAGCAGTTTTTCTCCTACAAAGACCTCAGAAAGACCACAGCTATGGGTTTCTGTTGGCAGTCTCAGGGTTTATTTTGCGGGGCATGTTTGCAAACCTAACAGTGCGGCACCCTGGTTGAGAATCACTGTTTTTAGTCCTAGTTCAGGTATATTTCATGGGTTTCAAATTGCTTTGGCAGGTTTTGACCATCTGGGGTTGCACCTTTCCTATTTAATAATAATATTGTGGCTGTTTTATGCTGTCTCCCATGTATTATTAGATATTAATATGTTAGGGTATTAGAGAAACATCAAAGCTGAGTAATATTCTTTGCATTTATTCATCAGATTGCTACTGCAAGCCTTGAAATGAAACAAGATTTACATTTCTGTAGCTTTTCTGGTACGTTCTCTTCAGCAACCAGTAGTTAGAAGGGAGTGACAAGTTCACAACTGGTTGTTGACCAATTTGATATCATCCTCTTTACATTCGTTGGGGTGCGTTACAATTTGAATCCTGCCGTCTCTTTGAGCAAGAGCGGTTTGCTTTCGGTTTTGTGTCCCCAGGCTCCTACCATTAACGTTCACTTCACAGGACGTTTGCAGGACTAGTACCCCTGTTTGCCATGTTCGTGATGTGTACTTCAGTGTATGTTCCTCCTTCTACAGTAAAAAACAAAAAAAGAAATGTGAGATCTCTGCTGAAATGTCAGGAATCGCTTCCCTGCTGCAAAGGTTTTACACAGGTGTTTAAAGGTGACCCTGCAAAACGCTGCATCTCTTTCGGGTCCCAAATCAAAGCGCGCGTGCAAATTTAAAAATTACAAGTACATTCATGTCTTAAAACGTGACATTTGAAAACCACTTCCCCTTCACCTTCCCGCCTGCGTGCTCTAATCAAAACCCCATGTCACCCCTGCAATAGTTGATGAGATTACAGTGCCGAGGCTTGCAGCATTACATCATGAGCTCCGGGAAACATCTGCTCCTTCAGTCATCTTTATTCAACTCTTGTCTCTGCTCCTTCACGATTTAGTGACAGTAGGACACACTCCATTTCAGTGCTGAAACGGGTCATCTTCTGCCTTTTTTGTCTTTCTGATGCGCTTGAAGGACTGAAAAGTTATATGTAACGTACAGAAATGCACATCTTTGCCTTTAAAATTTGTGTAGTTTGGGGGAAATACCAACACTTCTCTGTGGTTTTGGCCATCCAAACATTGGTGCCCTGAGAATTACAAAGTGAAATTCACGGGAAGCAGAAGTGAAACCCACTAGTGCGTTTCCATTGTCCAAACTGAGAAAATATGCAAACAGTTACTCTACAAAGAGTGAAAGTACCCTGAATTTAAATAATAGGTTAATAAAGACCAAATTATTGGTTGTGACATAAGAATGTTTTTAATTAAGCTTATCAGAGACTGAATGTTCCCCTTTTTCTTTTTTCCCTATAAAGGGGAGGGCTCAGAGATGGCATAATTTCTTGGCCTTTTTGGGTGCTGAATTTGGAAGAAAACTCGGGATGTTGTCATTAAATATAAATAATGTTATTTATGTAGGGGTTTTCCTTATACCCAATTGCGTATGGTTATTTTGCTCAAACAAATATTACTGTATGTTAATTATTGCATACTCTAATGACTCCTTCGTAGGAGTAGTAATACTGATTATTTTTGCATCACTTGGGAATGGCGGCCATATTCCATCTGCACCAACTGTATCCAGGCAGACTCGTACAAAACAGAAGTGACAGGAATGTAACTCACAGAGCAGCAATCCACAGTTACATTCCTGGCAGAGAAAGTAATCTGACTTTCTGCTTAATGTGTACTTTAAAGAGTTATCTATAAGTTCCCTTTTTTTCAGTGGGCACTCTGCCAGCAGTTGCTGTAGCTGAGTTTGCTGTGAGGTTTGTAGCCTTCACTGTACAATACAAAGGCAGCAAGCTGCAAGATGCTGTGATTACTTTGAAATTGCTTTCCACTCATACATGTGCTGGCATAAGGTGCTTTTCTATTTTATGTGGAAGGATGCTGACCCTTTGGAGCGTGTCCTGGTGCCTATGCGCTGGGGACTGGTCCCGGCCTGGTTCAAAGAAGATAATCCTTCCAAGATGCAGTACAGCACCTTCAACTGTCGCAGTGACACCATGATGGAGAAACTCTCTTACAGGGTGAGTCTACAGTATCTTTGCATTTAACAAAAGGATTTTGAGCGGGGTGTGCCAGTGCTCCTGCTGGTACTACAACACAGAGATTCCTGGTTGAGGGTCTTACCTGTCTGCTCAGGGTCAGACCGATAGCCACATTTGGGGTCAGGAAGGAATTTTACCCCATGGTCAAATTAATATGGAGTGTGTGTGGGGTGGGGGGGGAACCAAGACTAGATGACATCCAGAGGTCCTTACCAGCTGGACTTTTCTATGATCCAATGGGGGAAATTTTTGCTATCATCAACTCCCAGCAGTGCTACTACCATCTGGTAAGATAGAGGCTAGACCTAGAGGCTCTCCCTAACAAGTACTGGCTGCTGTTGCCCCAGGTGTTTAGAAAAAGTCCTTCGTACTTGCACATTGTACAACCAACATCTCCATTTCCATGAAATAGGAGAACTCAGCAGGTAATGGCTTTTCACATGCTGTATTTGACAGGGTGGCCTTGATATAACCTGCTGTTTGGTTCAAGTACCGGTCAAACTGGAGAAAACAAAGGCAGCATTGGCTGCATACAACTGATCTGGGAATAAAATACTATGTGAAATTAATAAAAGCTTGTAAAGCCAATTTAGCAGTGGCACAGTGGGCTCTGTAAGGAGACTTAGCCAGCCTTTTTTAGCCGGAAGATGGGCATCCTGGCATGCTGTGTGGAAGTGGGGGAAATGTCTGTAGGAAGGAATTGGGGCATTCTTCCAAGTGCTGGAGAATGCAAGGAGTGGAGGTGAGGACACAGAATTATTTTGCCTTACAACTCATGGCTTTCAGCAAGAGAGAGAATTGTGGACCCTTGCAAAGACTCTTCAAGGCTTATTTAAGCTCTCTCTCTCTCACTGATGCCAGGGAAGGCAATGGACAAAGCTCCAGTTGCCCCAGTGACCTATTTTTATTAACACAAGTTCTTGAGTGGAATAGAATGGCTACATTTCCACCTCGTGCTGGGACCAATGTCACATGCTACCACTATGATTTACAATTATGTGTCTGGGTGAAAACCCATTGGATCATTGTGCAGAAGCCACTTAGGCAGCAGTTTGCCATATGGCATGAGATTCTTCTTTCATTAAAGCATTTGTATGCTAACATTAGCCCTGAAAACAAAGCATAGGTTTGTGTGACCCCCAGTGCGGGTCCACAGACCTAATACCTGAGCATTTGAAGATGATCAGGAAAATGCAATGTGTCAAAAAGAAAGGTCTTCCCTGCATTTAAGCCATGATGTCATCCTTCTTCTCTCCTCCACCAAGCAGCTTTCTTTGATGTCAGTACATCCCAGTCTGCCACTGCTTTCATTTGTGACATGGTCAAATTTTCTCTCTTCAAAGGGCCCTCTTGTCAAGGGCAGGCGCTGCGTCGTGCTGGCAGATGGATTCTATGAATGGCAGCAACGCAATGGAGAGAAGCAGCCCTATTTCATTTACTTCCCACAGACTAAGCAAGAAATGGTACTGGATTCCCAGCCTGGTGGTGTTTAGGCATTTGCTACTAAGCCAATGGCGATTTCCTGTTCCAGAACAGCTCAGAAATATTAATTAGCTGTTACTGTGGGCCAAGAGCTCATTTTTTTTTAGCTGTGTTCAGGGTTGAAACACTCATAGTGGAGGCTGCATGTGTGGTGAAACAGGTAGAAAGAAGCCTGTGGTGGTGTGGGGTGCTGCCTATTAGCACCCAGAGTGACAAACCCTGGAAATGCAGCAAAACAAACCTCTCAAGCTGCAATATGTGGGTGGCCTCTATATAGCTCTGCAAGCTCCCTTTGATCTTCTGGGAGTTTGATCCTGAGGGGTGCTGAGCACACAGAATTCCCATGGCTTGAATCTCACAGGGGATCACTTTAGATGATCGCAGAAATGATTCTGCCTGTCATGTTCTGCCCCCTCGTTCTTTTATTTTGGCCTGGACACCTGATTTGTCTCATGAGAGAGTTGATCTGCTACTTCTGCTTATCCTCTCCTGTTTCCTGCAGCTCTTCATTCCTTTCTAAAGTGACAGGTTATGCTGCACAGGTGGAGGGTATTGGCTTTGGGAGGGGAAGCAGCAGCAGTGGAAGATGAGGCTTCTAGTGGAGCTTTTGTGGGAAGGTCCCTAAACATAGAAAAGCAGTTAAAATAGTAGTTGAGCCCTGAGCCACTGACCTGCACTGGGTTTAGCATTTTCTGTGAGGCGTCAGCTGCCCTTTAAAGGTCTTTGTGTTGAAATGGCCTAGCACAGGGCTGGGGTTAGTAAGATAGTGATTGTGCCTGATCTTCCTTTCCAGTCAGACATGAAAGAGGAAGAGGACAATGAGGAGGAGGAATGGAAAGGCAAGAAGTTACTCACCATGGCTGGGATTTTTGATTGCTGGCAGCCTCCCAGTGGAGGGGATCCCTTGTACACCTACACCATCATTACAGTGAATGCTTCCAAAGCCATAAGTTTCATCCATAACAGGCAAGTGAGACTGGCTGGTATGGGTTACAGAGCATACTATAGGGTAGCTAAGAATAGTGGGAAGTAAAGGAAAGGGCAAACCTTTCCTCTTCTCCTTTCCATGTGGAGCAGGTAGCGTGACTGTGTTCCCATAAATGCACAGCCTTGGCAGTCAGGAACTCTTTCCTGTTTCTTCCACCTGACCCCCTAGGACACGCATTAGTATGTGACTGACATGTTTGGGGTCACTGAATCTTGCCCTTCCCATAAGTCACTGTGGGATTGCCTACAGGCCTGTTTAATGACTGTCAATCAGGACCTTTTTCCTCTGGGAAGGGGGCTGCTTTAATGAAAGTAATGTGCTGCCAGCCTCACAAACAAGCTATGTATTGCTTAGTCCTTTCTCCCTGGCTTTGCAATGGGGCCTCCATGCCACCCAGCTTGCTCTTTACATACAAGGAGTTGTTGCCAACATGGTTTGTCCTGATGTACCTGCAGTCAGCTATCTGTTAATGCTGGCACTTAGCTTGGCTTGCCCCAGATGACTCAGTTCTACCATATGGCGGGCAAGTTCCATGCATCAGCACGATCTGAAGGTCTCTTCCCTCATGTAGGATGCCAGCTATCCTAGATGGGGATGAAGCCATCAGGAAATGGCTGGACTTTGCAGAGGTGCCAACCCAGGAAGCCGTTAAGCTTATACAGCCCACGGAGCACATCACTTTCCACCCAGTGTCCACCCTGGTGAGCAACTCCCGGAACGACACACCAGAATGCCTTGCGCCCATTGAGCTAGGACTCAAGCAGGTGAGAGCCAGGGCCTCCCTACCCTAATACTGTCTGAAGATAAGGATTTGTTCTGTTTGGAGTCTTCCCGCTAGGGATTTCCCTTTTCATTAAGCTTTCCCACCTGTTAGAGAAACGTTGCCCTCCACCTTTCACAGTTCTGTCATCTTTAAGACCAGAATGATCTTGGACAGTTGAGCACTGTGAGTGAATAAACCCCATGTTTTGCTCACTTGTTGAGCCAAGCCAACAGCCCTTCTGCTTCTGGCATGGGAGGGAGATTGTGCATTGAAATAATTCAGGGCAGCCGTTTCTGTCAGAAGATGGTGCTGGCAGGTGCCAAAGAGATTGCAAGCTGCTACCCATTTTCAGCTGGAGCTGGGGGAGATGTCAGGAGTGAAGGGCCATTAGGGATTCCCACTCCCTCCCCTACTCTTACAGAAATCAGCCATGGGCCTCCTACTTCATGAGGTGTATTCCCCTTTGAATGGAGCTTGGGATGAACTTGTTGGGACCCTCCCTGTGAAACCTACTTCAGGCTGTGGATCTGGGGCCCAGCTCTTGGATGCCAGTACCAACATGAATTTGCTGATGCCCCTTGTCTATGACCTGGTATTTCTCTGCTACTTTTATTTCTGTGTTTGTCATTTGTCCTCCCAGGAGACCAAAGCCAGTGCCAGCAGTAAAATGATGCTGGATTGGTTAAAAAACAAATCTCCCAAGAAACAGGAAGACGACCTTCCCAGGTGGTCCAGTCAGTTCATCCAAGCTGCTATGCCCAAAAGAACCAGTGCAAGTGTAATGCACCAGTGGCTGAAGAAAGAGGAAGGAGAATCTCCTGCTAAGAGGCCCAGGATATAGGAGCCAGCCTGACCATTTGGAGATCATTCCCTGTTTCCAGTTCCTAAGGAGATGCGACACGTTATCTTGTTAGGCACTGCAGATTGATGCTGAGATTCCCATGACTTTGCTGCATGGAGCATTTCAGTTTGATCCGTTGTATTGATTTGATGGTGTAGCTCAGTGTCCCCATTGTTCTGTATGTTTCCTGACTCAGGAGGGTGGTGTTGGCTTTGTCTTCCACTAGGCAGGCACGGTCACTTCCTACCAGCTGTTCACTCCCCCCACATAGCTGGCAGTGACTTTGCCTTGGGAACACCTATATACCAAATACGTATGTGATGGTGAGAGGGGCACTTGACCCTCTGGACAGGGGCCAGCGACTGAACTATCTGAAGGTTAATTTCTCTCCTGCCCTGGTATTCAGCAGATTCTCTCCATGGTGCCAGTGGGCAGCTATCTATTCTTGACAGTGTCTCTTTGACGCTGCTGATGCTGAAAGACATTTGCAACTGGGAAATTAACCAAAGGGCCAACAGCAAGTTAATGTTTCAGTGAGACATTCCCCATCCTTCTCACCTCCCTTTTGTCCAAAGCCAGGAAATTCTGTGCTAACTCTCTCTTGCTTTGCCTTACAGTGTTCAGAAATGCCATAGCACTATGTGGGTTTCAGGGCAGGGGGATTCTTGGGCTATATGTGGAGAAGAGGAAGGTTGTATAAATAGGTATTAAGGGAACAGAATCCTGTTAAAACTCAGGAAGCTTTCTGTTGTGGAACTGAGGAGGATTATGGAGAGAAAGAGAGAGTGTGTGTGTGTGGTGACATACACAAAGTGATCCTCATTAACTCAGTTTTGCTGGCAAACGTTAAAAAAGTGCCTTTACCTTAAATTGTTTTCATGACTCATTGCCTGTCCCATTTCTGACAAGCTGACCTGCCTTCAAGGAGCCTGCGTGCTAAGCCTCAGGGGCTTTTCTCACTGACATTATAATATTTTGTGCCAGTTTCTTAGACTGTCTCTGTGTCAGATTTTTTAGAGCTACGTGAGATTTTTCCCCTCAGATTTTGTACTGCTGCTGCTCTCTGCATTTCAGTGAGGAGTCAGCATTTTAACCACTGTTAACCCTGCTCTAAGCGGGGTTAGATGAAACATGGGAAAAATGGGGTATTGGATATTGCCTGCATGATGGCCCTTACTGCCAGTAACAGTAGCCAGATGTGGTGAATTTGAGGAGACAAAAGATTTTCAGAAGGGCTGAGCATATCGGCAAAATCTTAGCAGAGTTCCAGTGAGTGGTGACTGGGTTTTATTCATCTCCTTGGGCTGAGTCTTCATCTCATAGCCTTTATTTTTCCCTTTGGGGTAGGCAGTGGGTCTTGGTCGTGTCATTTGTGATGCTGTTTTGTTAGCATGGTTTTAAGATTTAAACTGTTTTTCTGAACTCTCCATTCAGAGAACTAACAATTACTCTTTTGAGTAAGATGGTAAGAGTTAACTTTGAGCAGTACCTGATTAGGAAAGTGCATGCCATTACAGTCCACTAAAGCAACTTGCATTTTTTTGTCTTGGTCTAAAATTGGACACCGTTGGAGTCAGAAGTGAAAGCAAAGACCTCAGTGTGCGGGGGCTGCTCTGCAAAGCCTTGCTTGTTTGCTTCTGACACAATAGTTTGTAGAAAATAAAGCAATGGGTTTGTCTGTGTGGTGTCCCATGCATGTGTGTGTCTGTCTGTACCAGGTGGCAGGCTCAGAACATCCATTCATCAACCAGCTTGAAGAGCTTGGTTTCCTCACTTCTGGTGGAAAAGAATAAGATGACTCTGGAAGGGGATAGTGGGCAACAGGGAAGCTGTTGGTGGAATAAGGTCCTGAAGAGGTGTGTGTGTGTGTGTGTGGAGGGGGGTGCTGTTTGCTAATGAAACTATTCTGGGAAGGCCCATTTTGAAGGCTGCTCTCCAAACTGCTTGTTCAGAGAGCTTTACAGAGGCTTTCTTGCTGCTGGAGAGACTTTTGGGCAGCCCCTGAAGTAAGGGAACATGCAGATTGCCTGGATGCTGTTCAAGATGTTAGAGCTGCCCATGCTGAGGAAGGAAGGCCCTTTAAGAGCTTTGGATCCAATGTGCGATCTTACATCTGAGTCCTGAGTCCAGCACACACCACTGATTGGGGAAAATGCTGCACTGAGCCTGACATGTAGGGAACCAGGAAGGGAACCTCCCTTGCTGCCTGCTCCATGGATTTAGGTCTTCCCTCATTCTGTGCTTAGGGGAAACCAGGCAGAGGCAGCTTTGCAGCCCCTTCTGCATCCCCTCCAGCATTCAGCTGCCAAGGTGAACAAATTGCTGTTTATCCCAGGCCTGTTCCAGACTGTCAAAATAACAGGTCTTGATTTGTAGTCCCTGGGCCCGTTGCCTCAGCACCATCTACGGGCTTCTGTAGGCAGAAGACAAAACGTGAGAAATGGATCCCTTTCTGTGCCAAGCAGTTTCTTCCCGAGGCAGAACAACTGCTGCAGATGAACCACCAGTACAGAACAGCCTCTTCAAGCTGGCCCAAGCAGGCACTCAGGAGTTCCCCAGAAGTACTTTGTGGCTATTAAAGGAGTGACCAGACACCAATGTAGTCTTCAGTAGATGGGCTGCTGGAAACTTCCCTGTCTTAAATGGGAAGTAAGCCTTCACCCACCATGGAAGGACTGACTGTATGCAGAGCATCTTGCAGATGCAAAGCATTGGGAGTGTGATGATCACCAGGCAATTATCTTTAGGATGCAATCCCTACATAACACCTTTGCAGCCAAGTCTGTTTGTATTGCTAGTTTGGTAGAGAATGACCATACTGGTTCTTAATGATCTTAACCAGAAGTGTGTGTACAGGTAAATGAAGCCCTTTGGGGAAAACCCAGTGTTAGGTTTCTCCAGTCTCAGGTGCAGGCTCCCCCTTCCAGCTGTGCTTTGCCCTCGGCCAGCTATCTTAGAAAACTGAGTGCACGCTTTAGCAGTGTAGGTGCCTGGAATGGATGCAATAGTATTGTAGGTGTGTGGGATGGCAGAGAATTTGTTTTTACACACAATTTTTTTTAAACAAAGCTGCACTAAAACAGGCTGGGAGCCTGTTTGGCTGGGTCAGGGAAAGGAGGAAGCCTGCTCTATAAAGCAGCAAGACACTGAAGTACGCTGTCATTCTTAGGATTTTTGGAGGGAGACAACCAGCCTGTTTCCAGAAGAGCAGTCAGGGGCACTAGGGGCTTAGGCAGAAATCAACTGTATTGCCAAATCTCTTGGCTTGGAAACCTTCCTTCTTCCTCACGGTTGAGAGCAGAAGGGAGAAGTGTAGCGTGAAAAGGACAGCAGCAGCAGCCAAGGTTGGAAGCACTTTCACTTGGAGCAAGGGGCTGCTGCAGCTACTAGGGCTCCCACTGCCTGCACTGAAGTGGTGAGCTGTATCACTCGGGGGGGAAAAAACAGCCTTGGGTTAATGGGTCCTGGGCGCAGCAAAGAGCTGCTGTCCCCCGCTTTGGGTTGCTTGGCCTCGATGACCTGCTTGTCCCTGCTGACCTGGCCCCTGGAGGAAAGGTAGCCTCCCCGAGGAAGCAGTAGCTGTGGCCCTGCTGGGTGGTGGAAGAGGGGTGGGTTTGTTCCTGTCTGGCTGCAGGCAGGCAGGGGCTCTTCTGCCCTTACCCAGAACCAGAAGTGGAGACGGATCCCGCCAGGGCAGCGCCTGCTACTTTAATGAGGGACCGCTTCACCTTCCCTCGTGCGGCTCCAGCCCCGCTGCAGCTGCGGGAGAGCTCCTGGCCCCGGGCCTGGGATCTGGGGCAGCCCAGACGGGTCCCAAGGGAGCGGGAGGGGGCAGCCGGAGCGCTGGGTCAGGCAGGCCGCCTGCAACCAGCGCTGGGGCGGCCCCGACTGGTCCGCGGCTGCGCCACAAAGGAGCGGCCAGGGCGGG